TCTCCTCTCTTCCTTATTACCTCCTTTCCTTCCTTCCTTCCTTTCTTCCTTTCTCCCTCCCTTCCTCCCTCCCTCCCTTCTCCCCCCTCTCTCTCTTTCTGCGGCTCATACGAGTAGGCAACCTGCCCGCACCCGTGCGGTGTAGTATAGCTATGAACGTGCGCGGCGAAAGTCAGCCGACTGGTATAGTCATGGGTATAGTATGGTCGACGCGGCGGTGGCGATACCCCGAGCAGCGACGCCCCGCGCTTCCGGACTCCCGCCGCCGATACCCCACGACCACGACGGCAGGACAGGGAGTAGCACCGCGACCGGCGAGCGCGGGAAAAACACCACCGCGTGTCCTTCCCTCGTCACATCGACCGCATACTCCGCGCGGTGCCCTGGCGGCGCCTGACGGGCAGGGTCGGGGCCTGGGGCACACATTAGTCGTTTACCGCGCGGTACAGTACTGTCTGTCCTTGCTCAACTCTGTGACATCATTCGCCTGTTTTTATCGGACGTGCGGGACGCAAGTGTTACAGGAACAATGTGTGCGTTGGTCCGTGGACCACGCTCCCCGCCGGTGACTTTGCATCTACAGTTTCCCGGAGAGAATGTGACGAGGGATGTGCCCAGCTTGAGTAAACAAGTCTTACGAAAAAAGTCTCCTGGTAATCTTGGAAAGTATTGGAACCACATAGTAATCTTTAATTTATATCAATTTCAGTCATCCGTGGTAATCCCAGCATGTAGATAGTCAGGTTTCAGGTTGTACTCGATTTGAACTAGTTGGAAACTCTCAAGGTTGAGCAACCCCCTCACCTCACAAAGGTGGTGGTGCCACTGCACTCGCAGTGTCACGGAGTGACGCTATGGGTTTGTCTGTGCCTTGCCTTGTGGAAAAGCGGCTTGCAAGTCGAGGGCTCGAGACGGAATCCCGCCAAGTGAGAAGTGGGACAGGGAATCCCCCTCGCCCCCATATGTGCGGCGTGCTGGCAAGCCTGGTAGGGTCCCTCCTGGTGAAACACAAGCCCGCCAATGCCCGCTAATGTCCGCCAATGCGAAGTATCGCGCGGTCGCCCTCCCCTCCCCTTTCCTCAGTTTCGCTGACCGGTCCACATCGAGTCGATCCGGGTGTGGAGGGTCAGGTTCGCCGTCGTCATTAGTGGCATTATGTATTATGATAATGATGATGTGACCAATTAGAACACGCGCCCAGACCGGGGGTGGTTGGGGGAGGGGAGGGGACGACCTGGGCTGGACCGATAGAAGTGGTTCTCGAGAGACGCGTGGCGTGCGTGGTTTTCCCGCCCGGCCGTTGCTCTCTCGGACGGCCGCGTTTGAGAGAGCAATCGTGATGTTTGTGTTTTTCAACTCGTTTTATTTATTTTAGTAGTGCGGCGGAAGCGGCCGCGGTCGGACTGCATGCCTATAGCTGGCGATATCGTACACAGCTTGCAAGTATTATTGCGTGCGGAACTGAAACTCCAAACTATGCGTCAAAGTTGAGTTGATCTTGAAGTTCTAATCATTGGTTATATAAACCTGAAAGAGACACACATACACAACGTCTTAATTTTGAGACTCGCCCTTCCTTTCCGAGTGTGCTGAGTAAGCTCTTAATGAGTGGAAATGCGTGTGGCAGGTAGTTTCTCATGTCCGTGTGTCGGTCTTTTATCTTCTTTTCTGCTTGAGTAGGTCAGTTGCACTTCGCAGGAGGCATTTAGTCATGGAGGCGCTTAGTAGTAATAGTCGTAGTCATCGTACACTACCACCACTTGAGGAGACCTCACCCCCGCATCCACAGGATGAACAACATCCACACCGACGGGACTAATCACTTCCACTGGCTGCACATAGTGAACGGGATCGATGACTTCAACCGGCTCGACGATTTCGATTGGCTCGATGACTTCGACAGGCTCGATGATTTCAATCGGTTCCAGATCAACTAATCCAATAGGTCCGATCACCTCAAATCCGCGTGGGCTAAGATTGCCATCAGTCTGCGGGTATCGCTAGAACCGGAACCACGCATTAGGATCAACAAAACAGTGTAGAATCCAGAGACATCACTGCAGGAGCAGACGTACAGCGTGGCCAGGTCTGCACTGCTTCCCAGGAGGGCATTTAACTAGCCGCCTGTGGGGCCCGGGCTGCCCCTGTCAGAAAAGGAATAGTTGTAGTCTGGAAAATTCTTAAAAGAGTGATGGTTGTGGCGGATAATTATCGTTGTTGGTAATTCGCAATGAATATTCTTTTAGATGAGAGAAGTGGGGGACAATCACCCGGACTTGCTGAGGGACGACGCCGGCATCGGCCAGCGCGGTGGAGCCGAGCAGAGCCAGCAAAAGCAACAGGGACGCGGGGATGGCCATCGAAGTCCTGGGCGTGGCGTCGTCGGTCGCCTCGACACCTCGTCGCCGTCAATGCTGTTGAGGCAAAATAGAGAAGCGTTCCTCACTACACTATAAAAGCACAGCGATAGAGTAGTTGCAGGTACCGAGCCATGCACGACCAGGTCTCTCTACATCTTGGGCACAAGGCAGGTCTTACCTGTCCGGAGGGCTGCCGTTCTACTGAGGGTGGGCGCGACAGCGGGCACCTTATCGACATCGGTCGTATTCCACGGGATAACAGGATACTTCCCGTCGGCTACTGCGCGCAGTCAACACAGAGCCGTTAAACGCCCATATATTTCTATTTTTGAGAAGTATTTCGTTCCGTCAGCAACTAACAGACTTCCAAAATTTCACGAATTTGTTTTCGTATATGAAGGGGGTGTATATAAACTGGTTTTATGGGCAACACCTCGGGCAACACGTAGGAAGCGAACCTCCCACACATGCTCGTTAATTCGATTCCAAGTCGACACGCTGTGCTTCATAAAATTTACAATTTTGAATTGTAATTGTACGACATCTTTCATTCTTCCATGGAAAATTTTCCTTCGCCCGGTACCCGGTACGACCGTTTTTTACGGTGCCTGAACTGGGATGGACCCCATTATTGCGATCGCATGGGCGGAGCGCCCAAAACAGAGTTGGGAGTTCATAAGTTCATGCCGGTTCATGCGATCCCAATTGTTGGCTGTTGGCCGCCAAATCGATGGGGTTGCCGTGTCGTATCCAGGAAAATTTTGGACTTAGCACCCCACGGTTTCAAATGACAAATAAAACTGAACCCGTTCCTAACTGTTTTGAGTCCGTGATTCATTTTGAAGAGTCATCGTTTTGTTTGTGTGTGTGGCGTGTGGACATTTCCCACTCGTCATTTGTTGTGCGACACGTCGTACTTGCGAAGGTTGGGTGCCCTGTCGTCGTCGTCGTCGCTTCACGGGGGGCAGGGATCAAAGGGAGGGGAGGGGACCGCGGGACCCGGCCCGGCCCGCCAGGGAGCAGGGATCGTCTCGGACGGGTTTTCCAGCGAAGACCTGTAACTCAGTATATAAAGCAGGGGCCCCCGCCTCGTCCCCGCACATGTGGTCAACACTGCTTAGCGCGAGCGAGCTGGTCCGTGAGGAGCAACGCGAGCAAGTCCAATCCGATCCGCGCGCTTCTTTCTCGTTCTCGAACACTTTTAATTGCCGTACCGCCGGTTGCCGCTCCCTCTCGGCGTTTCTCGCCTTCTGACGACTCGCTCAAGAAACCAGAGGCTACTCGATGGCACCCCGGACAGTGCATTTCAGCAGGTGAGTTGATTGATGTGTGCTGGGTGTGTTCCCGTCCCGTATCGGGGAGAAATAACATTGAATGTCTGTGCAAAACGCCTTGCGGGAGCGACTCGCTGCTGCCCCTCTGTCACAGCCGCAGCCTCGGTTGGGTACACCTTGAGTAATGAACAAGGGGGAACGACTGTTAAACTTGGTGTCAGCCGGATTACGGATTACCCGTATTACCTCTAGAGTTTCCTCCGGATTACGTTGCCTTTTCTCTAGGATTGTCCCGGATTACCCTAAAATTTCAACTGATTACCCTGAATGTTTTCGATTTTTTTCGGATTACACCTGCTAGATTACCTAACGGCTGTCAGCCGGATTACCTTAGTCGTTTCCCCCTCGGCAATGAATGAGATTCCAGAATGAATCGATGAATCGGCAATCGTCAGTTAGTTGTGCTGGTCAGGGATCCCCGCCTGACGACCTTGACCAGGTAATGGAGATGGATAAAACAATAATGCCAGAGCGACCTTTGCCCCTTCTCTGGTTGGTACAATAATTCACTTTATGCAAACCTATATTGCCCTATGTCTGGTGTCGTCACCGGTGCCGATCGGCTCGGCTGGGCCGATCCACGTGGGGGGCTTTGGTCACTGTTGACGTCATGAGCGGTCAGCGGGCTGGCTCGGGCTGGCTTGGGCTGGCGCTGGCCGGCGGTAAGCCAAAAGGCACCCCACCGCACTCCGCTGCTGGCGTATGGCGCGTGCATATCAGTGCGTTTTCTGGCACGGCGAAACACACGGCGTGTAGCTGCTGACGCACTCCACGCCCGTGGCATGGACTCTAACCCGGCCTTCTCTGTACAGCGCGGTGCTGCTGCTGCCTATGCTGCTGCTTCTGCTCGGCGCGGCGCTGCTGCAGGCGCGGCCCCAGCCCCAGGACGCCAGCACCAACAACATCTTCCGCCAGGAGATCACGGAGGACTACGGTCGGAGTGTGGTGGCCGATCTGATCCTGAGCGTGGCTCGGGACTGGGACCTGGGCCGTGAGGAGGCCACCGAGTTCATCCGCGCCGTGCCGGCAGTCACGGTGAGAGACTCCCCTCCCCCGCACCCCACCCCTCCTCCCCCGACCCGGACGCAGTCGGCGACCTCATGATGATCCTGGCGCGGTGGCGGTCCTCCTGACGTCACTCACGCCGCCGACGTGCCGTGACCGCGTCCGCGTCACCCTCTCGACGTCAACCCGTTTGCGCGCAAAGAGCGGCTTTCCTCGAGCGCCACGCCGCGCCCGGGCCGCTGTACGCACGGCGGGCTCGCGACGACAGGAAGCGGACTCTGGAGCGCCGCCCCCCCGGCGCGCCCGCCCCGCCCCGCCTCGACCACCCTGCCCTCCCAACCTGCCATGCCGCTCCGTTAAACTTTGATGTTCTTCCCGCCAGGTAAACGGCACGACGTTCGGCCCCACGACGCACCCGATCAACGAGTCAGGCCCCATCAGCTTCTCCGCCAGCGCCGACGAGCGGCCCGAGTAGCCCGCCCCGCCGCCTGCCCGGGCGGGAGGGTACGCCGGAGGGGCGGTCGGCTCTACCTTCAGCCTGCCTGCCATCTCGGTCGCCCCACCCTGCCCCGGCCCGCCTGACGGTTCTCACGCACACCGCCGCCGCGGTGATCCTCGTCAAACGGCGTACTTTCCACGTGGAAAATAACTCTCACACACGGACACACAGTTAGATGTGATGGCTCCTGTGTCGGCCCTGGATTGGGGGAATTACCACCATTGATCTCGCAGTTATTACTCGTGATTCAAACGACTGACAGTCAGGACGTGGGCCGGTCAGTGTCCGTGGATGCAACACGCCCGTTGGGCCAAGTTCATTTCCGTACTGAGGTCTGCATCTGTACTACAAGGCGTGCTACCAGTTCTCATGACAAGCAGATGCAGTTCTACCACGCCTTCTATCTACCATCACTACCAAGTGCCCACACGTCTGCGGTGCTGCGTGCCTGGTGAAAATTGCGTTTCTGGTATAAACGCCAATTGCAGAAATAATGTGATATATAAGCTTCGTACTGATGTGTCAATGACTGAAAGTGTGAGAGTGAGAGTGAGAAAGATGAGAGGGAGATACACGATGAAGTATTACTTAGTTGTTTATATGTACATAGTACATTAAGTGATTAAACAGTGATATTAAGTTATATTGACAAGTAAATTATGATGTTCACGGTGTGGCTTAATTCATAGTCTTTGTTGAACAATAAACCACATAATCTCTTTTCCTAAAAACGACTGTCCTTATTTACACGTTTAGAAAGTATCTATGCTTATCTTTGTACAAACATCTTACAATTAGTTTAAAGATCTCAGTTCGTCGGTCAATATTACAACCGTATTTATAATAAATTGTACACGTACGTTTCAAGACGAAAGAGACAACTCACGGAAGAAGAAAAGGCATGGTCGATCGTCAAGCCTCGTTCATTGTTGTTTTCGAAACTACTTTTAGAGAACGAGCTAGAAGACGGTCATCAACTCACTTCGGTAACGCCCCTTACAACTATTCACTAGTGCCTATTCACAGCTGTAAACATTAAATTACACAGTCACTGCCGCCGTTATAGCGTGTCTCTGCACAGGTGCAGCAGGGCGGCTGCCCCCAGGAGCACCGCAGCCGCCGTCACCCCCCGCGCCCCCGAGTCGTAGCCGCCGGGTCGGCCGCCGCCGCCACCACCGCCCCCGCCAGCCCGGGGGTTGTCCGCCATCCGGTCACGCACCCAGGCCACGTGGTCGGCCAGGCTCGTGTAGACTGTGGGCCGCGCGCTGGAGCCGCACCCCGAGCCCCAGGACACGGTGCCGGCCAGGAAGCCGTTGCACACCAGCGGGCCGCCCGGATCACCCTGGAACACACAACGCCGTGGATTAGAGCTCACCACCCAGCTCATAGCAGAAATAGGTGAGGGCCGCGGGGAAGTCCTACGTGAGGACCTCGGGGAGGACCTCGTGGAGGACCTCAGGGAGGACCTTGTGGAGGACCTCTGGGGGAGGACCTCGGGTGGAGGACCTCGGGGAGGACATCGGGGAGGGCCTTGGGAGGACCACGGGTAGAACCATACGGTGAGCGCCACGATGAGGACCTCGGCGAGGACGGGGACTCACCACGCAGGCGCCCGCGCCGCCCTTCTGGTGCGCCGTGCAGATGACGCCGGCGGGCAGCTGGGTGGGCTCGTACATCATGGCGCACAGGTCCCGGCCGATGAAGGGCACCTCGGCGGTGAGCAGCGCGTCTGACTCGATCAGCGTCTGGCCCTGCGCAGACGACACACCGCACCGTGTCAGACGACCCACGCCGGCGGCCTGGAGGGGCTGCTCCAAGCCTCCGTCCCAACGCTTACCGTGTTACCGCTTACCGTGTTGTTACCCCACCCGCTCACGACGCAGGTGGTGCCGACGCGCACCTGGATGTCGCCCACGGGCAGCGGGATCTGCGCCACCCGGTCCATCTTGTGCATGGGCAGCGCCACGCTCAGCTGTGGGGGTCAGTGTCACAGGTTCAATGCCGAGCGCAACGGGCGAGAGCGTGCGCCAGCCCTCTGCAGCGCACAGCGGCACGGGGCGCGTGGCGGGGTCCGGCCGGGGGCCCAGAGCGCCGTGCGCTGCGAGGGTAGGCAGCCCGCCCGCGCCCGTGCACGCCGGAGCAGCATCACTACGAGCAGTGCGTGCGGCGCGTGCATGCCGCGACCCACCGACACATACCAGGTGGCTGATTCACGCCGCGCACTTCTGTAGTTATGCTGTACCGCATGCACGAGTGCGGGCGGGTTGCCTATTCGCTCAACTCGTAAGGCGCCGTGGACAGGGGCGATAGACAAGCCCGCCCGCACTCGTGCATGCGGTACAGTATACCTACACTGTAAATCTAGGGTGTGCAGCAACGGTGGACGTTTTATCCAAACGATGTGGCAACGCCATACGCTAGTAAGTGTCCAGGGACAAATTCTTTACTGTTATCAAAATTCAAGTTCAAATTTTGAATTTTGAGGTTGGCCAGGGAAAGAATTCGTCATGTTTGGGCGACTGTGCGAAACCTCTTTGGATAAAACGGCTATTTGCAAATTGCCTGGCCAGGCCGGCAGAATAAAGAGGAGCAACGAATACGCCGTACCGTGAGAAGCGCCAGGTCGTTCCGCTGGTCGCGGGAGCTGAAGTCCGGGTGCCTGGCGATGTGGGCCACCTTGCGCACCACGGTGTCCACGTCGCCCTCGTCCAGCGAGGACCTCTTGACCGCCCCGACCACCACGAACACCGACTCGGGTGCGAGGGGTGACCTGCGGGAGGTGTTTGTTTACTCTGGTTAGCACACTGGTAAAACAAGTGTTTAATGTTGCACGCCAAATTGGTGTCTAGGTTCAAGTGTGCATATTTTCTCAAAACATTGTGGTGTCTAAACTAGGTTAAACGTCAATTGGTGTTTAAACTTTCAACACTTCCGAAAAGGATAGCAGCTGCACACCATAAGGTTCCTAAATTTGTGTGTCCAAATGTGTAGAATTTAAACTGTACAAAACGTTTAAAATGTGCACACCACGCAAGTGTGCAACTTGAGTTAAACGACATGTAATGTTTAAAATCATAACTTGCACAAGTTGGTGTTTAAATTATGCACAGTTGTTTTGCCAGTGCAGTGATGGGGACGTGCAGCCATCCTAGGGATTTTAATTTCCCAGAAAACTGTATTTTTGGTAAGTTTTATAAGAATCATTTTTAAGTCTGAGAGTTTTCCTAAAAACTTTTTTAGTTTTTCTGGAAACCTTTTCTTTTTTTTTAATTTTTGAAAAAATTCAGACTTTAAAATTCCTCAGCCCCAGCTGTTATGTCGGCACTCACGCATAGGAGATGCAGCGCGCGGCGGTGAGGATGTGCCAGGGGCTGATGATGGCACCGCCGCACTTGTGCTGGTTGGCCTCGGGCGAGTACAGGCGGATGGAGGCCTGCGGACAGTCAGTGTCGGCGTCAGAGTCGGCGTCGGCGGCGCTACTCCACGGGGCGCCGCGCCACCGCACGCCCCCGGGAGTAGCGCCGCGCGGCTGCTGCGGGGGGTGACGGATGATGATCCTCGCAGACTCACCTGGTACGGGATTTCCCCGACTTTTACGGCGACCGCGCCATGGACCTCCGGTCGCCATTTGTCCAGGATGGCCTTCGCTTCCGGTAGAGATATCGACGAACCTTGGGCAAGGCAATAAAGGAATATAAAATTGAATAGCGGGGTACATGAGAGCGAGGGAAATGAGGGGAAAGGAAGAGGGGAGGGGTGTGAGAGTGGGAGTGGTACTTAGCACACTCGACCTCGGGCTCGTTGTCATGTTCACCGCCATAAACATATTTGATTAGAAAAGAAAGAACTTGATTTTTTGATTTGACAAATTTGTTTAGAAACAATGAACTCGATTTTTTGGATTTGTATTAATGGTCATCGACCATTTGGGGTAGATTGTTTACGTCCAGTCTTTTCCCGGTTATATTTTCTTGTAAAGAACTAAATCTAGGGAGCATTCCCTGTCCATCTGCAGCGGCGCGGGCGCGCGCGTGCCAGGGCATCATCAATCCCAATGTCCCCGGCAGTGTACCCAGTGTACGGGGACCAGCGGGCACCAACGGGGACCCCCAGACTTCGATTGTCAGTACCGCCGCGTTACTCAATTAAACGCGCCCTGCCGTGCAGCCCGGCGGGCGCGGCCAGCGCCCACTCAGCGCCGGGGAGGCGTACGGGGATGCGCACCGAAAATGTGACTCCAGGGCCTCCTGAGGGAGCAGGCCGAGCAGGCGCAGCGAGAGGGACGGTTCGGACGCACCGCTCGCACCGACATGACTCCCCAGGCTGTGGGCGGCACTGGCCCACCGGCCG